CGAATATCGAAGCTTGACCGCGTCAGCTCCGCCTCCCCCACGCCAGGATGGGCTTGTCACTCCTTCACTGGTGGCTGTGGGTGAGGAGGCCTTCTTAAGTTTTCGCCTCGTCCCACTGACGAGCCTTTTCTTTCTGGTGAGGGCCTTTGCGTTCTGTTCAAGCACCCGCCTGCCCTCAGGCCACGGAGATGCTCCTGGCTCCGGAAGCGTTTGCCTCCCCCGAGGCGGCAGGCCAGCCCCTGCCCGGGCAGTGTGGGCGAGGCAGGGTCCCCTGGCCGCCCCCTGGGGAGCATGGTGCTGAGCCTGTCCGGGTCTGGGACAGCCTCTCCCTTTAGGAAAGAATGCAAATTATGATACAAGTAGATGCGTATTTATTCAGAATGAGAGAAAAAATAATACTCTTTTAAAAAATTGACAACAGCACAAACATCCCCAAATCCAGGAAGTACAATTTTTATTCATAACTGCATGGCACTCCACTATGACACATTTATCATCTACATTTTTTATTGTCTCTTCCTTTTTTATGTTTATTTTTTATTTCTGAGAGAGAGAGCACGAGCAGGGGAGGGGCAGAGGGGTCGAGCAGAGGAGCTGAAGCGGGCTCCGTACTGACAGCGGTAAGCCTGATGACAGGCTCGAACTCACAACCGTGAGATCGTGACCTGAGCCGAAGTCAGATGCTCGACTGACGGAGCCCCCCACGTGCTTCTATTGTCTCATAACAACTTTGAGATATTACTTTCCAAGGACAAAAGAGAAGGAGAACGCAGTGTGTCTCTAACGCAGCAGATTGAAAACAAAATGATGACTTCTCTTTTACAAAAGTCCTCACTTGACAGCTCATTACTCGCAGCTCATATCCATTGTTACGACCACAAATTTGGAGAGAACTTTGACGAGTTTCATTTACAAGCTGGAAAGTCTTGGGACAGTGCACTTTCTTGTGTTGTGACTAATCTCAAAAGCCCTTACGGATCCGATGAACCGCCTTCCATCGTGTCCTCGTCCCACTGGCTGTTAGGGTTCTACGTTATCTTGATGTCAGCATTTCCTGTTAAATCAGCGGAACGTTTAATCCCGCTCCAAAAGTCCGTGTGATTCACTCCTTTTGGTTAATTGCCAGGGTGTTCCTGGAAGTGTTTTCTGTGCCAGGGTATCTGGCATTAACTTTGCTGTGCGAGGAAGTGACTAGGAAGGACATACATATACTCCGCTAAACCCCGACTCGTGTTTTCACAGCTCAGCTTCCCCTTGACCGGATCCTGAAAAG